ACTGTAGAATACTTTATTTTCGCTTGGAATTTATTTTCGCTATTTTCGCTGAAGGGATGATTCCGTGAAAATAAAATCCAGCGAATATACTTTTTTTCCTATATTTTCACTTTAAACTCATCCAAAATCAGTGAAAATAAATTCCAAGCAAACGCCCAAAAAGCCTTTTCAGCGAAAATTAATTCCGGCGAAAATAAAGTATTCCACAGTATTATATAATCAACAATGCTAATGAGTATTTTTTTCTGTCACTAGAGGGCAGTACCAACATTTCTCAGTTGTCCCACTAGAGAGTGCACTAGTACTGGAGCAGTTTACTGTTACAGAATTTTTTTTTTCTTTTCTATCAATGTTATAATATTCAATTTATCTTTTTTATCTGACAGTTAGAAAAAGAGCGTGATGATCTATATGCCAAGTTTGTCAAAGCCATCCACGAAGTTCAACAAAAAAGTAATTTCAAGAACTTGCTGTTAGAGAAGAAATTAACTGCTCTGGCTGACACACTAGAAAAGAAGGAAGCACAATTGAATGAAGTCTTATCAGCTTCTAACTTAGATCCTACTGCACTGACTGTTGTTACAAGAAAACTTGAGGTAAACAATAAATATTTTGTTTTCATTTTACCCCCAGTGTTTTCCATATGGTGCAGCTCATAAAACAAACAATCAAGCAAATATGAGGAACATAGTCAGTTTACTATTATATTATCCTGTAATAACAGTTTAGTAGATCACCACATGTAACACCACTCTTTCAATTTCTTAATATCTAGGGCATTATTTGTTCCAGTTTTCATGCTTCCAACCTGACGATGCACATATAGAAATATTAATAATACAAAGACTGGCCTATCTAATTTTTCCCAGAATAATTAATTAACAAGATAATATATTAGGAAAATAGCTAATATGGCCAGCCTGGTGTGGTTTTAATGCATTGCCATAGCAACGAGTTCAAACTTAGGTCAGCTGACTGGCTAACTAAAGTAGGTCGATGTAATTATGCACCATCAAATACCTGGAAAGAAACATTTTTTTTTTATTTTATCCAGATTATGATTTAATCTTGATGCTTTAACAGGTATCTGAATTTTGCTGCCAGTGTATTAGAAATTTTTATTAAATGTCTAGATGGCTGTTTAAATTTTCTAATTTGTGTCATGTCATATCTGTGATGGCTATCGTCAGCTCTATATCTTTTGTTTGGCAGTGTTGTATAGTTCTTAATAACATGTACATGTATAGTTCTCTATGTTGTCTCTAGAATCAAGCTGAAACCATATTTTTTAATTCTAGTACATAATTATTTAACAACATATTTCATTCTTCTGTAATGGTTAGATGGCATACTATATGACTATTCTATTAAAGTAAAAAACACATTTTTTGATTTTCTAGTAGTACAAGGATTGTGTAGTTCATACTGTCTACCGAGGGTACTTGTTTTTACCATAATTTAATTAACATAGCAGTAAACAGATAGATATCAGTTCAGCTAAATACTCCAGCTGGAGAAAAAATGAATATTTCCATGGTAACAATACACACTTGCGTAGATGTGGCATTATTAACCATTGAAATTTGTCTATGTTTAGAAATATTGCATCATCTCTGTCTTGTCTATAAGGTAAAGACTAAAAAAGTGGAAAAAAATCCTGAGTTCGACAAATATAATGTCAAATTACCCTTACAGTCACCT